CTCATAAATAATACTTATTTTTTTAAAAGGTGTGAAAATGGCACAAAATCGATGAAAACCATGGGTTACAGTCCATGCTTTTTGCCTGAAAATGGTCAAAAATGATCTATTTTTCATCACTCATTAATAATACATTTTTTTTTTTWAAAGTTTGAAAATGGTCCAAAATCGATGAAAACCATGGGCTATAGTCCATGCTTTTTGCCTGATAATGGTCAAAAATGATCTATTTTTTATCACTCATTAATAATACATATTTTTTTTAAAGTTTTGAAAATGGTCCAAAATCGATCAAAAGCATATGCTATAGTCCATGAATTTTGCCTGAAAATGGCCAAAAATGACCTATTATGCATGTTTCATAAATAATGGATATATTTTTAAAAGATGTGAAAGTGGGCCAAAATCGATGAAAATCATGGTGTAACGTCCATGCGTTTTATCTGAAAATGGCCAAATATGACGTTCAGAACCGCATAGTCCTTGCCGAGCTTTGTGTTTGGATTATGTCCGATAACAACAAAATCTTCATCCCTTATAAATAATTCATGTTTTTTAAATGCCTTCGAATTGTCCATTTGGTTCAGACGGCTTTATTTTTAGCTTAATGTTTTCACTTTGTTTTTTTTTTTTTTTTTTTTTTTTTTTTTTTTTTTTTTTTTTTGTTTGTTTTTTGTTTAGTTCTATAACCCCAGCACCAGAGAAGGGAATAAATGTCTGTGCTTTTGACAAGACGAAAACTAAGTTTGTGTTACGACGAAATATTACCACTTTTAGAATGAGAAAAAGTAAAAATTGTGGAATACCTGGATATGCAGACCTCTTATGCACCGAAGTAAGGTATGAATGTAATTACTATTCCTATACGTTCATCCAATCTAATTCAGGTCCATTCTTATTGCTATATACGTTCATCCAATCTAATTCAGGTCCACTCTCATTCTTATAAAGCCCTTTCATGTGACGTCAAAGCAGCTAAATTTGGAGGACAAAACAAAAGAATTTCAATCTCCTGAGAATTGGAAACATATTCAGTTATGTCCTCCAAATTGAGCTGAATTCCGACAGGCCACAAGAGTTATATACGTATATTTTTGTATATTTTATATATACGTGTACTTTTCTGTCATTGACCTCCCTCTAAAACATGACTTCTTCTTTGTCATAGTTACGAGACAAAGGTTTACTGGTATCCATTTCGAAGGGACTTCCATTACATTTCTTTCCACTGCTGTCCTGGATGGCGTGGCTACCAAGACGGTGTGGGCTGTCTAGAAGGTACAACATGATGTGTTAAATTATAGGGAGGAGAGGCGGAACAGAGAGAAGGAGAGAGAAAGGTGGGGAGCGCGGAGAAGGGAGAGAGGGATTATTTAGTACTGGCTCACTCGTTGATCGAACGTCGACTCTTTTTTGTTCTAGAAATCCCATGTGAAGTCCAAATCTCCCAAAACTCAAGACCACACTGTAAAACTAAACGCGTCGATGATCTCAAGAAAGTCCAACAGATCTACAAACTTGGTGAAAAAGAAGGGTTTCCCTTCGCCCTTTCTGACATCGATGCGATGACATTATTTAACCTTTACCGGAATGACTCCTTTACCAAGACCTGGATGAAAATGTATATCCACATGTTGCAGAAGAACAGAAAGTTGATTGAGAGCTTCCCATTAACCCACAAAAAGGAATTCAACTCGATAAAAGATTACGAAGAGGTGTATCATTTCTTCATTAACCAGATGAAGAATACGGTAAGGTGTCTCATATTCTGTATTCTTGTGTTGTAACTATGGATACATCCATCCAACTATTTTATTTTATCTTATCGCATTCTATTCTATCCCGTCTGATCTAATACTTTGACGATAGAGCGGCCATCTTGGATCGCAAGGCATTATGGGGGTCCAGGGGACAAATATAGCTTTGTTACAGTAATGAAGTTGATTAATATTAACAGCTCATCACAAAAGAGAATACGACAAAAGATGGCTTAGGACTGCACATCGATCACCTTCACCCGTAAAAGAAGGACAAACACACGAAACTATATATATTTCCCGTCATCTTTGTTTTGGCAAGATGGCCGCCGTATCTTCGAAGTAGTCCATTGTATTTCATCCCATGCAATCGATCTCGTACTAACCCATTCCACCCCATGTAATCCCATTTCATTCATCTTTATTTCATGTACCCAGCTATTGTTCAATTCTCTGTCCTCTCGCACTCTTGCTCTATCTCTTTTATTCTTATATCTAATTTTAGAGCAAGCTCTTTCGTTTCCCGTTTGACACCCTGCCATTCAAAAGTGTTGTGAATAGCAACACATGGAAAGAAGACAGAGTCTTTGCTGAACTGCGTCTTGCTGGTCTCAACCCCATGTGCATCCAAAAGGTCTCTTTACATCAAGGTACATTAAATACCTATTTACGCCGTCAGTTCACTTCATCCCTACCTAGGGGTCATAAATTGAACATATTAACATCAGATTAACATAACTTATTTTTTTCCGGTCCGATGTTCTAAAAAATCGTGCGTTCTGATTGGCTGTTTGAGCGGGCGGTATTTTGTCAGTATCTGCCCGCGTTCGCGGTCCGGAATCCTTTGCCGCTAAACAACAAAACAAAACGATTACAAAAACGAGTAAAGAAAAAATACGGGAAAAAAGTTATTTACCGGCGTCCCATAGTCGGTCCAGATAGGGAAAAACTGTGCCCTCGGTCTTGAAAACGGACCTCGACCTATATTAAGTAAGACGTGTTCTTCTTGTAGGTCAAGGTGTAACGTGGTCATCCCTCAGTCGTCGTTTGAATATGAACACTCACTGGGAACACGTGATTCAGAGAGCATTCGGTCGAACCCTTCCTCTACAAATGGTAAAGACAAAAATGGTTATAGAATCTACTCTAGTTGATCCTAGTAATGCTGTACGTTCCCTTGCTATTAAATTGGACGTTTGCATGCTGGTGTCATTGACCTCTACTACCATACTCCCTTGCGCACTTTCTTTTGTCCGTTTAATTAGCACCAACTACACATTTAATTAAGAAAGAAAATTCGCCAAACATTATGGTAGCGGTAGTCAAATGTCGCCATCATGCAAATGCCCCATTTAACGGTCGTAGTTTTGCAGCTGAAAAATTAAAAATTTCTCTCACACAGATAATTAGCGATGGGTCGGTATTCGTTTGTCATTTTCCTTTGTTTGACAACATCGTCAATGTACCCGACATAACTGAGGGTAATCCTTCGCGCAAGATGTGGAAATCAATGTCACCCATTGCGGTTTTCGTATCAAGACCAAGTGCTGACGGGCAGACAGCTGAGCTGGTCCCAGCAGCCATCCAGATGGACAGCAAACCAGGTACGGTATTGTATTTTCAAGATTTAAAAAATGGTAAATACAAATCAATAAAGGCTTTGATTGCAGCCATGACAGGAGGCAAGAAAAATAGCCCCTTTCACAGTTTCCAGTGTCATCTTGAAAGGTAACCGTCCGCCATAAATTTGCATCGTAGCGAGACTAACGGTGAGCACGCTATGATAGAAACATACGAATAATTGTCCGATGTGTTAAAAAAGGTCTCTATTATTGCAAGCTCACCGTTCGTCTCGCTTCGATGTAAAGGCACGGCTACCTTTCAAGGTGGCGCAGGGAACTGTGGTAGGGACTATTGCAGCCGTTCTAATCCGGTTTACATATGAGAAAGAATTCAGTTTTCCAGAGGAAAAACTAGTAAACTCTATTGTTGTGCTTCCTGTAATGGCTGCCTTCACTTGATGGTGCAAATCTTGTTGAGACAAATAGTGCATTTTTGCAAAAAAAGCCTTATACTGCACACAAGGAGATTTTAGAGGGATTACCTGTTCTCCTGTACCTCCCCTGATACGTCTTCAATGCCTTTGCTCAGTTCTCGTATGACACATGAGCGCGCATGAAACTCTCATTTGTGTCTGTCAAGGGCTATTTTGGCCTGCGGTATTCTCAAAAACTAAATTTCACTGACTAAAGCTAATTCAGCGCCAATTAGGACGTGGACATACAGTGCATTTTCGTACCGCGTAGCATATTGCGTTCAACACTTGCACATTATAACCTGGGGTCTTTAGTAACACCATTGTATACTAATCTCTATTAAAGTAACCTTTGCAAAAAGTCTGATAACTTGACATGATTCTTTCAGAATCCCCCGTGCTTACCCCAGAAGATGGCGATCTCTGGTTGCTGGCTAAGGAATCTTTCCATGTGACTGACTTTGCTTATGTCGAGATGGTGGAACATTTACTTAAAACACACTTGATGATGGAGCCATTTTGTACAACCATTCACAGACATCTATCCTACCTTCATCCCATTCACCAGATTATGAAGTTCCACTGCAGGTGAACCTTAAACTAATATAATGAAATATAATGAAATTTCAGGCTCCATACGGATTCAGTACCTCAGCATTGAGAAAAGAAGTTGACCTTCAAATTCTGATAGATACCATGAAACAACATCTGCAGGACTGATGCACGCCTGACTAACAAATTAAACCCTGAAACAACAGATTGAGCTCTGAAACAACCCCTGGGCTGATCTAAGTCAGGGCATAGCTAACTCACAGATTGAGCTCTGAAACAACCTCCTCGTTTCTTTATATATATTTGTTGTTCCTGTATGTATATATTTTCTTTCGTCCACATAACTATAACTATATATTTGTAATATAATGAAGACATCGACCCCCTCGATGAGCGTTACGCTCTTGGGGTTAATGTTTCGATAAAATATGTTTAAATAAATAAAAAAACGGCCTTGGTTAGATGGCAGAACAATATAAAATCCCTTTGCTCTCGGAAATTGAATTCTTCCACATGTAAAGCTATTGTATTTTTCTTGCCAACTAGCATGGCTGCCGTCAAGTGATGTTCCAAAACCTCTATTGCCTCCTTTGTAACTAAATTTTCTTACATTAAAAACGTTAAACTTTTTTTTTTGGACCTAAATATTTTATAAAAGTCTAATTATTGTTTCTTAACTATTAGGGGTCTTCTTCCTACAAACAAAATAGGATTCCCAAAACTCGTCGACGACAAAGCTTACATGCATCAGTTGTTTGCTATTGGTAATGTAGGATCTGTTCAGCTACTGGTCAAAGCTTTTCACACTATGTCTTGGGCAGACACTGATTTCCAGGCTAATATAAAGGTAAGACAAATAGGAAAAATGGCCTTAATTGAGATATCATGATGTATGCTGTTTTATATCCCTAATGGCTTCGTGTTTTTAGCATTTTCATTGGATAGTGACGTACCGCGAAATAATAGACCTCTTCGGCTCTGACGTAATGTTTTCCCATTTCAAATCATAAGTCATTCCCTAGAGTATCATTTCTTTGTTTAAGGTTTGCGCTCGGTTGCACATGAGAAGGCACATGAATATGGATACAGCTCAAACAAAGAATCTTATTATCAAGGGGAATAACACGTGGTCTGAAATGGGAAAACATTACCCCAAGCCGAAGAGGTCTATTGGTTCAACGGGTTCTCGATCTGTACTTATCATAACCATAACCTTTTGTTTATAGTAGTTTTATGGCTTGCGACGAAAACCGAGGGCTCTGGCATAATCCATTCTTGGCGCATGCGCAATCTTCCGTAGTTGAATACAATTAATGAAAATTATGCTTTAAAAAAGAGTTAAAATAAAAATATGCAATTGCGTGGCATCTTAACAAGTTTTTGTTCCAACTTTGCATGAACAGATGAGAGGCTTGGATGATAAAAGAAAGCTTCCGTATTTTCCTTACCGCGATGATGGCTCGGTTCTCTATCGGTCCATCCAGAGTTTTGTCCAGGAATATGTCGAACAGTAAGTGGATTTCTTTGTTCTTGAATGACAACCTCAATTAACAATTCTTAAATCAGCCTTTTTGAATTGGTACAATACCATTGTGTTCTTTGATTACAGACTCATTTATACTATACAATCACTTTGAAATTACGATCTTTAACTGGAACACGACGTGAATGTATTTACGCAAAATATAGGCTAACCCTGAGCAACAAGGAGCTTGAAAATGGAGTTTTGCCTTGCAAATCAAATATATGTTTAGTATAGTCGCGTCTTGAAGAATAAGGATACTGATTATTTTAACAGATACTACGGGAATGATGCTGATGTGAAGAAGGATAATGAACTTCAGGCTCTTGCCAATGAAATGTCTGTAGATGGAAAAGGAGAAGATGGAGGGAAAGGAAAGGTTGGAAATAAGTGATGTAACTTACACCGGTCAAGGGATATATGAACATCACTATGATTATAGAAATAGATTGCCATCGGTTCCATCATGATAATAGTCATAATCAGTACCTTCTTTATCCGTCATCATCATCATCACCATCTTTTTACTCCCATTCCCATTACCATCATCATTATCATTATCATCATCAAAATCATCACTATCGCCAACACCACCATCAAAATCATTCCTCACCGCATCACCATCACCATCACCACCACCACACTCATCGTTATCAAAATCATTACCATGATCATCACCATCATCATCATTATCGTTATCAGCATTATCAGTATTAGGCAGATTATCTTCGTAATCGTTATCAACAGCATCATGATTAATCTTCATCATCATCAGTCAAAATGATAACCATCACCATTGTCATTGCCATCGATATTCCATCACTAATTCATTTTTCATCTTGCAGCTCCGTGGCTTTCCATCCCGAATCTCAAGCATCTCTCTTTTAACAAACATCATCACACGGCTTATTTGGACGTCAAGTGCTCAACACACCGCCGTTAACTACCCAATAGCAGCATACGGAGCCTTCACTCCCATGATGCCATCCAAGATATACGACGACCCAAGAGTTCCAGATGACACCTTTGATTTGTACAGACTTCCCAATGGCAACATTTCAGCTGTAAGTATATTGTTTCATGCACCATGGAATGTAGCCAATCAGAACACAGAAAAGTTGTGGGATAACCATAGGTATTCGACCTCTTCGCGTGACGCAATGAATTTTTCTATGGTATGGTATAAAGTTCTTGTGACAAACCATAGCCCTTTATTTCGATTTACCAGTCCCCTTTTGTTGTTTGTTTTGTTTTGTTACTTTGTTGTTGTTGTTTTCGGAAGGGATCCCTGTAACAATAAGTGTAGCGGTGAAAAAAATTAAATAGTTTCTAGAGCACGGCTAACTCACAGATCGGATTGGAATTTAGCGTGTTTGGTTTTGCAGAGAGAGGAAAAATTAAGAACCCCGGGAAAAAATCCCTCGAATCAAGGAAAACCTAACAAACACTTACTCTGCCCGAGTCCATGAATCAAACGCGAGACTCCAGAGGTGAGAGAGAGACGACATACTACGCTGTGCTACCCTTGTCTTGGCTTCACAATGAATCAACTAATGATATTGATTGTTTTAGATCCAAGCTGGTGTTGCTATGAGCCTAGGATCGCTTCACCTCGATGACCTTCTTGATTATGGAGCACAGTTGAGCGACCAAGAACGAGGCGGGCAGATCGTACAGAAGCATTTCAAGCGTCTAAACAACCTTGTCAAGCCCCTCCTGGATCAAAGGAACGAAAGAAGGTTCCAGGGGGGACATCTGACCTATCCTTTCCTCACCCCGGGGTGGGTACCTAATAGCATTTGTACCTAAAACTCGCGATAGTTTGAAAACGTCGTCTAGCCTTCTAGCAAGTTAATATGTTAAATTACTCTAGTGAGAATAAATAAAAGCAACAAGCAAACCTGATATTAACACTGTAAAGTAGTCACGAAATTTTTGTCGTCGAATTTCAAGATGCTACCATTTTGCAACCAAACAGCAATGAGGACAATAATCCCCTTGGAGTTCCCTTAGCCTCCTTCGCAGGCATCTCTGTAGCTTTCTCTAGCTAATTTCTCTAGCTATTAATGAGCCGGAGTCTGGGAACAAAGAAACAAAACCAGCACTCTCGGTTTTCGCTGGAAAAGGAAGCCCACTCGCTAGAGAGATATAGTATGTGAGAGTTTATAGAGTTACCTGCGAAGGAGGCTAGAGTTCTGTGACATCTTGAAAGGTAACCCTGCCTGTGTACGTATGCGAGAACGACAGTGGCCTTGCGATGATAGAGACCTTTAATAACAGCTTGGACAATTATTTTATCTCATTGTAAGGTCTCCACAGTTCTCGCTTCGATGCGTACAGGCACGGTTCTATGGCACAGGAAACTGTGAAGGAGACTATATTCACGTGCTTGGCGAAGACGCGCGTCTAGGGTTTTCGTTCTCGAATCGATATGCCATCGGTAGAGCAACGAATTCTCTCGTTAAAAGAAATGAATTTAAAATATTTAGCAATGTGTTAAAAACCCTTCTTTTGTTTTTTTCCTTCCTTTTTTCCTTTCTTTTTATTTCTTTTTTTGTCTGCAAGGAAAGTTTTAAACAACATTTCACAATTACAAAATTTACAGTGAAACATATAAACATTATACGATTTCATCTAACTTTACGCGATATTTTTTGATTGACTACTAATAAATATAGTACAAAAGATGATAAAAATACTCATATAAAAGAGCTATCAAAATGGTACTCGAATCGCCTGTTCATTTCAGGATTGTTGTGTAGTTTTCGTTTTTTTACGTATAGTATCCTCTAACACCACCTTGACATTATCAAATCAGCTCGAGGGCTTCGTTAGATATTATTCGAAAAACGATGAATGAATCTGCAATCAAGTGTGTTTTTTTTCCTAGGAGGAATCTTGTCTTGATGAACGTCTGCTTCGGATCAGGAAAGGACGGCTGAAATAAGGCTTAGATTTGGTCCCATCGATGAACTTGATAACCACGACGATACGGAAGCGATTCCTTTTTTCAGCATCGACCGTTGAAAGCTTGTAGACCGGCATGCCTTGCGGAGAGAGATACACGGAATCCAGGTCGACGGATAGGTATTGCTGTGAAAAGATATATAGACCTCATGAGTACATCAAGTAAAACACAGCAGCAACATAGCTAAACGACCTGTTAAGTGACCAAAGAGGTTGATTGCATTAATTTATGCCTCTATTAAGCTCTATTCAGTGGCCTGTTTTCAAAGTCACAAAGAGGATGATTGCACTAATTTATCGGCCTCTATTAAGCGATCAACCTGTATTCAGTGGCCAGATGCCAAAGTCCCAAAGATGGCGATTACCTAATTCATACCTCTTTTAAACTGCCAACCTCTATCTATTGACCAGTTTTCAAATTCACAAAGAAGGTTTTTACACTAATTTATACCTTTATTCCGAGCGGCCAACCTCTGTCTGTCGCTAAATAGAATTCTTATTAGCCTTATTCAAAATATAAATGTAAAGAATTACTAACACTACCTTATTCAAAACCAAGTCTCCCATCCTCGGCTCCAGTTCTACTCGTCCAGTATTGTCCCCAAGCAACGCGGCCGCTTCTGGAACTCTTTCAACAAAAATTTGAATCCCTTCAATCTGGGCATCAAAGGTCACAACCATCCTCACTCTAGCATCTACTAATCTTTGCTTGGACTCGCGACCCACTCTGCTTTGGACTTTTTGATAGACTTGGTGTAAATTTAGGAATTGGACTCTGGAACCAGTGGGTCGTGGATTGGTGGGGGAATGATCGGGTTTGTTTTCAGTGGTGCTTGTTAGAGTAAGCGATGAACAGCTGGAAGAAACTGTTTTTCTATCTTCAACTGAAATTCAACAGTAATAGATGAATATTAGGGATCAATTAATGGAGGAGAATATGAATGGATGGGGACAGCTCGATGTATGGATGAGTGGGATGAGATGGGATGGAGGGATGGAGGGATGGATGGATGGGATGGGATGGGATGGATGGATGAATGGATGGGATGGATGGATGGATGGATGGATGGATGGATGGATGCCGATAAGAAGATGCATGAATATATCATGAATGGATGGGATGGCATGAATGAGATGAATGGATAGATGAATGAGAAAGTGGATGGATATAACATAGATGGATGCTGCATGGGATGTGATGGACGGATAGATGGATTGGAGGGCATGGATGAGATAGATAAATAGATGAGAAAATGGATGGGTATATCATGGATGGATGGGATGATATGGGATAAACAGTGCATTGATGGAAGGACAATAGAAACTTACACCTGAGGACCGATCAATTTTCTTAAAAAAATTACCAGAAAAAGAAGCATGCAATCAGGCATAACGCTTGAAGAGGAAAAAAAATCTTCCACGTTGGTATGTCGTACAACGTGACACATGCGGTAACGCAACACAAGACTAAGCTATTACGTACAGGAAAATCTTAAATACTTAAGAAAATTTTAAGAAAGACAATCATTTGTGTTTCCTGCACTAGTTTGACATCTTCTCGAGTTTTCCGCAAACGACCAAAAGAAGCAAGTTCCAAGGAAATGAACGTATGCACTATGAGAAATTTGTGCGTGAGGTTTAACAGGAACACTGTATACATTCTATCAGTCAAATGAAACTAGTGGTCTATCATCAATGCTGCGTTCTGATTGGGTTAGCTACTAGTAGGCTATGAAGATATACCCTACCGGCAGCGAAAAGTGCCGGCTTTGAAAGCCAAAAAATAATATGTAACTTTAATTCAAAACTTATTTGCATCTATTTATTTGACCGACTAGTTGGATTTGACTAAAACAATCTTGCCCTATGCGGAGAAAGTATCATCCTTGATATTTAAAATATTGTATGAGTATGTAAGTATATGTGTTATATTTTAAGCTCTGAGATTTAGATTTACTTTTTCTTCTTGCTCAGCTTATCTTGTTTTTAAAAGCTTATTTTCTAATTTGATTATAACATTTTTTATTTATTTACCGTTTGGAAAAAGTCTAAGAAAGAATGCCTTTTTTAGTATTTTATTTTGTTATGATTATTTTTTACGGACAATAAACTGAAATAATTAAAGAGTTAACTTCATGAGACTGCCCACGCTAAGAAAACTCGGTAATTCATAATTTATCACAGGGTTAATCTTACTAACCTTTTATAAATGCTACACAGTGTGCATAAAGCTTTGTAACTGTTTCAAACTCTTGCTGTTTCCAAACAAGCTTACGCATTTCCATGGCTGTTATACTCGACTAAACTTGCTTCTCAAAGATAAAACTAAAATAGATTGTTGTTTCTGTACTGATGTCTTACCGCGAGTACTTATGATCGAACGAGACATGTGAACGCTTAGCGTGTTAGGACAAGACCGGAAGTTAAACGGTCTTTATACTAGCGTTGTTAAATGGGCTAGGTCAGTGATTGAATCATTTCCTGTTGACTGACCGCATTTCACGGCTCTTGACTGTAAACGTGCCGTCTATTAGTGTTGTCGATAAGTCCGAATAAGTCAGATAATGTTAAGACTTCGGCCGGACATCGCGAAATGCGGAATCAAAGGACTTTGTTTGGAATAGCGTACGTCAGGTTACTTTGTTTGTAGAAAGGAAAAAGTCAAAAGAGCAAAGAAAGAAAGAAAGAAAGAAAGAAAGAAAGAA